TTTTCTTGACCCAAACGGAACCGCTACTGAGCAGTTTCTATTCTGCCCCAACCCGCACACCCAGGGGACCAGGCCTCCCCACTTCTCCTTTGTGTATTTCCAGACGCCCCACAGAAAAGGGGTCACGCAGTAGGTGGCCTTTTGGGACTGTTTCTTTCACTTGACGTTTTCAAGGTCCATCCATGTTACTGAACAACTTTGTTTTAAAATGAAAAATGTTACCATACAAATTCTATAATATGTTCACAGTGAAACCACTGCCACTGTCGTAGGCTCGGTCACCCCTCCCCAGTGTGCTTCACAAGGCGTTAGCATTTACACTGAATTTTATGGGTTACAGCATCCTAACATGTGCTCATTTTTTAAAAAATATATTTTATCAAATTTTTACAGAGAGGAAGGGAGAGGGATAGAGAGTTAGAAACATCAATGAGAGAGAAACATTGATCAGCTGCCTCCTGCACACTCCCTACTGGGGATGTGCCCACAACCAAGGTACATGCCCCTGACTGGAATCAAACCCGGGACCCTTGAGTCCGCAGGCCGACGCTCTATCCACTGAGCCAAACCAGTCAGGGCACGTGTGCTCATTTTGCTGAACGGAGAAAATCGGGTGGCAGGATCATGGTATACAAGTAATATTTCTAAATGCGTTCTTAATCAACGGAAACATTGTTTCTAAATTATTAAACGTAAGTTCACAGGCCAGACACTGTATCTCGTAGGATATGATTATTACAAGGAAAAGCTTGAGTTAAAAGTAGAGTGTACTCTATCTTGATATTTTATACCAATTAAAAATGTAAAAATGGCAGCTGCCCAGCCGGCGTGGCTCAGAGGTTGAGCGTCGACCTATGAACCAGGAGGTCACGGTTCGATTCCCGGTCCGATTCCCAGTCAGGACACATCCTGGGATGCAGGCTCGATCTCTAGTGTGGGGCGTGTAGGAGGCGGCCAATTGATGATTCTCTCTCATCACCGATGTTTCTCTCTCTCTCTCTCTCCCACTTCTTTCCTCTCTGAAATCAATAAAAATATATTTTGAAAAAACTGACAGCTAATCCAAGGAGCTTCAATTTGGAAACGTTTATCTTGAGTTTCCATGAGATGTCAAGCGTCTACTCAGGTCTGGAAGAAAATACTTGCAAACCGCGTCCGTGAGGGTGGGAGGGGGAGAGCGCAGGGGCCCAGGAGGACGCTGCCGGGGACGTGTGCGTGGTGCGTACAGTGCCAGCCCTCCGCCAGTGCCCCGTCCGCGCGGGCCGCTACTGTATGTTACTCAGACCTCAGCAAGCCGGGCAGACCGCCCTCCGGGCTCCAATCACGTCCATCTACAGACAGGGCCGCCCTTGGCCAGGCGGTTTCCTGTTGTGGTTTTCACTTCCTGAGGCGGTTAAACTTCGGCAAAGGTTGGGCAACTTTTTTTTTCTTTCTGATCCTTTGGTAGACATTGGACTTTAGCGGTTTCGCGTCTTTGTTTTCCGAATGGGCTCCTGGAGCGCACACCTTCAGAAGGAACCCAGCAGCCAGCACTGGGAGTGAGGCCACACAGCTCGGCTGTGTCCAATCTTTCTCCGTGTCTAGAAGTTAAATTATAATCTTTACGTCTAAGATAAAGAAGTGTTTCCTGGTAATAAATCCCTGCAGCAAGACACACAGAACAGTGACTAAGACAATTTGTTCAGAAACAAATCTTAAAGTATATCATCGACATTTATGAATGTGAAGTATTCTACTGGCTTTACAAGGAAAAGAAATCGCACCGCGTGCCCACACCCAGGGGCCGCGCCTGCAGCATTAGATGCCGGCGGACTCAGCGGCGCTGGGTCAGGGCACGGAGTGGCCCCTGGTTCCAGTGTCGAGACCAGCAGTAAGGACGCAGCCTGTCCCTGCTCGGGCCGATTCCCCTGCGAGTTTGTTTTGTATTTTTTTTTTAATATTGTTATTGATTTCAGAGAGAGGCGGGAGAGAGAAAGAGATGGAAGCATCCATGATGAGAGGGAATCATGGATCAGCCGCATCCTGCAGTCCCCACACTAGGGATGGAGCCCACAACCCGGGCCTGTGCCTGACCGGGAATCGAACTGCGACCTCCCGGTTCATAGGTCGATGCTCAGCCACTGGGCCGCGCTGGCGGGCTGTTTTGTATCCTTGTTCGACGTGCGAAGAATGTGGGGCTGGGAGGCATGGTCACAGGACTGATGACAGCAGGGCGGGCATGGGAGCGCTAAACATCGAGGGGGCCACGCGGTGCCTTCGGGGTTCGTGGAGACGCTGACTCTGTGCCTCGACGAACGCTGCTGCCCGTGGAGGCGGCTCCTCTGCTGGGGGACGAAGGGGGGCTCTGGACCAGGCCCCTGGACTGGACTCCTGACTCAACGCAGACTTGGGCGGGCTGGCTGCCTTGTCTGGTGTTGGACTGCGAATCTGTAACAACTGGAAAGTCCTGCCATCGCTGGGGACAGGGGTCCCGGGGGCCTCTTGCTTCCTGTATGCTCTCTGGCAGCAGAGGCAGTGACAGCTTTCCTCATGGCTCTTTCCCGGATGGCGAGGACACCCCAGGCAGAGAGAGCGTCTCCTCCATGTCATCCCGAAGGCCAGGTTTGTCCGCCGTCCCCAGCAACCACGGCAGGGCTTCCCTTGGGGTGGGGACGGGGGGCGTTGCGTGCAGCCCACGACACAGACTGGGGTCCTAGGCGTGGAGTCGGTCAGCTGTGACCCAGAGGGACAGTCCACATCGGCGTGGGACCTGGAGAGCAGGCCGCGGAGGCAGGGCCGGGAGCAGAGAGCTCCTGCCCCTGACCCAGCGCCCACGAGGCCGCGCCGGCTGACCGGCTGACCGGCTGACCGGCTGACCAGTGAGTGTGCGGGGGCGTGGGGGGGGGGCTGCGAGTGCCTCCGAGGCTCCCGGAGTTGCTGAATGCCGGTCCCTCGCACATGCGCGTCCTTCCTTTCTGACACCAAGAATTTTTTCAAAGTGCAAATACCTGTCAGCCAGCCCTGACTTTCCCGGGTGTCAGTCCGTGCCTGTCGGTACAGTCAAAGCCGCGTTCTGGTGCGCCCTGCGGGGCAGTCACCCGCCGACGAAAAGTGAACGCGTTTCCTTGCCTGTTTGTCTCGGCCACGCCCGGACAGACGGACGGACACTTTCCCTCCCGGCAGGCGGCCCAGTGGGGCGCAGGAAAGCGTTCCTCACGACAAGCACGTAGTCCAGCACCGCCCTGCTCATCAGGAGAAGGGGACCACCAGGAATGGCCCTCGCTCCTCGAGCCTGCCTCATTGTTCTCCGATTGTAGGTGACAGGAAACCGGAGAGATAACGGAAGGAAAATGGAAACCCCGGCTTCCCAGGGAGAGATGGCTCCTCAGGGCCGCCCGCCCTGCACGAAGCTCGGCCACTGCGCCCCGCGCTCTGCAGCCACGGCCGCCCGCGGCTCTGCTCGGTGGCATTTATGCTCCTGTGGCTGGTCCCTGTCTGACGAGAAGCCGGGGCCTCCCACCTTCATGCTCTCATCTCAGCCCGATCGGACATTGATTTTTCACGGTAACATCGCTACCCTGCAGTGACTCCGAGCTTCTTGTGAAAATCACGGGGAACCGTGAAATGTTAAACCACACGAAACAGCACTTCCTGGCCCTAACGTTGTATTGTTACCTCTGGTTAACGAAAGCACCCAACCTCCCCCCCCCCCCCCCTTGGTGCTGTTTCACTGGAAAACGTCTTTAGGAAGGGGCTTCTGGAGGGTTCCCTCCCCGCCCGCTCCCCAAGAGAGGCTGTGGGTGTCTCCTCAGTCGGCTGGAGGGGACTGGAGTTCCCCAACCCGGGCACGTGCCCTGACCAGGACTCGAACCCCGACCTCCTGCTTCACGGGTCGACGCTCAGCCACTGAGCCACGCCAGGCCGTGAGGCTAAAGACTCTTTAGTCTGTGACAAACGTCCCCTCCAACGGTCGCCCTCCACCTGTTCAGACGTGTGATGCTGTGGTTTATTGTTGAGAAGCAGGTACGTTCGGGTGGAGGGAGGCATCGCTGGGCACCGGCTGGGCCACCTGCGTGCTAGCAGCTCTGTCCGCTGAGCGAGGAGGGGAAGGAAGGCCACAGAGGGACCCCGAGGACCCCACCTAAGGCCCAGGTGGGGGTGAGACATCCACACAGGAGGGTGACTGAGAAATGAGAGGTGCTGAGGTGGAGGCAGGCCGGGCAGGGGCCTTTTCCTGGCAGCGGGGAAGGGCCTGCAGGGTGGGCGCCGTTACTTGTCTGTGTGGAGGGAAGAGATGGGGATTCGCTGGAACGATCGACTAGGCCAGTGATGGCGAACTTATGACATGTGTGTCAGAGGTGACACGCGAACTCATTTTTTTGGTTGATTTTTCTTTGTTAAATGGTATTTAAATATATAAAATACATATCAAAAATATCAATCTTTGTTTTACTATGGTTGCAAATACCAAAAATTTTCTATATGTGACACGGCACCAGAGTTAAGTTAGGGTTTTTCAAAACGCTGACACCCCGAGCGCAAAAGGTTCGCCATCACTGGCCTAGGAAGTCGGGGGTGACTGTGGGTGGTTTCCCTACGGAGTGGAGAGTGGAGTCAGGGTTGGTAGATTCTGCTTCTCTGCTGGGGGAGGGGAAGGAGTGAAGGAGAGGGGGGTGAGGGGGAGGGGAGGGGAGGGGATCAGTCCAGGGTTATTGAAATGTGAAGGGAAAGTGAGGGAGTAGGAGCAGGAAGTGACTCTTCCAGACGTTTGGTGTAAAGTGGAGGCTGAAGTTTTTTTAAAATATATTTTTATTGATTTCAGAGAGGAAGGGAGAGGGAGAGAGAGGTAGAAGCATCCATGATGAGAGAGAATCATGGATCAGCTGCCTCCTGCACGCCCCCCACTGGGGACCGAGCCCACAACCCCGGCCTGTGCCCTGACCGGGAATCAAACAGTGACCTCCTGGTTCATAGGTCGACGCTCGACCACTGAGCCTCGCCGGCCGGGCAACATTTTCTTCTTTTTCTTTCTTAACAAGGCACTGAGTCCCACACGTGCACACAGAGGGTAAAGGGTCTGTTTAAGAATGCAAACAAAAACGTGTCACATCCAAAATGGTGTTAAAAGCTCCCACCTTAAGGGAATAAACTCCCATTATTGAGAAGAATAGACTGTATGGTCACTTGGCCTCCAGTAGCGCCGACCGAGCACAGAGTGGGCGCTAGGAGGGTGACGGAGTGGGGGGAGCAGGCGCGTGGCGGCCCGGGGGGAGCCAGCGGTGCGGGCGCGGGTGCGGGTGCTGCAGCTTCGGCCGCAGGGAGCCCAGCGTTCACCTTCCAAACAGGAGCCCAGCAGGCGTCCGTGAGGGGAAGCCGTGCAGGTGCGGGGACAGCACTCACAGTCCGGCTGCCCCGGGTCCAGGCACCCACGGGGGCTCGGAGACCCGGGGGCGATGGCGGCGGAGCCCTGCCCACGCCCAGGCGGGCTGTCTGGGGAGGACCTGGGCCGCCCCTCAGCAGCCTTCTCCCCTCCCTGCCCTAGCGGCGTCCTTCGCCCCGACTTCCCTGGCGATCCAGCGGGCGGCTCCTTCCTGCTCCAGACTAGACCTGGTCGAAGGCCCGTGCCCACCGCCCTCTCCTCGGCGTCACTGGGCACTGGGTGACACTGGGTGACACTGGGTGACACTGGGTGACAGCTGGGTGCTGTCGGTGCTCGGAGGGCGAGCTGAGAACAGGACGCCGTCGTGGCAGCTACTCACAGGCATGTCTGTGACGGTCAGCACACAGCTTGTTTTTCCATCTCGCTCGGAACTGGGTGGTAAGAGTTCTGACCTGACACAGAGGGAGGCTCCCCGTGGGGCTAAGAGGAGAGGAGGTGGGGGCGGCCGTCTGGCCAGTCACCCTGAGAGCGAGTACCGGCCACCCCTTCCCCCGCCCCAGCCCCTGGTGCAGTGACTGTCCTAAGACCTGCCCGTCCAGCTCCCTGGGCTGCCGACGGGTCAGAAGGGCCGGCCCAGGCCCCGCGGGGGGAGATGCAGGAAACGGTGGGCAGTGTCCATTGTTACAGGCCCTTCCTGTCCCTGCTGTGTGGCCAGGACACCCCCACCCCCGCCTCAAAGTCGCTTCAAAAGAGGGGAGGTGACCTGTCGAGTGTGAATCACCAGGAAGTGGACCTGATGGATCATGCAGCACATTCCAGAGAGGAAACAGAAACCACCATTCATCAGTCATCCCCTCAGCGCCATGCGGCCGTGGACACGGGGCAGGGGAGGGCGAGGGGGCAACGACTGACCCCCACGGGGCAGGGGAGGGCGAGGGGGCAACGACTGACCCCCACGGGGCAGGGGAGGGCGAGGGGGCAACAACTGACCCCCACGGGGCAGGGGAGGGCGAGGGGGCAACGACTGACCCCCACGGGGCAGGGGAGGGTGAAGGGGCAACGACTGACCCCGCGGCAGCACACTCAGGCCCCGACTCACATCCACGTTCCACGGCCCAGAGGTGCCCACGGGACCCACAGATACTGGTTTGCGCCTGTTTCGCTCGGATGTTAAAGCTCACGTCGCCCGGGGTGATGCCATTTCAGCTCAGTCTTCCTCTTTCCCAGTACAGGGCATTTCATTTTGGGTCCATCACACTTTCCAGGGAGAGGGCAAGGCCTGGCGTCAGCACCTGGGGCTTCCCGGGCACCTTACGTCTCCCCGTGGGCACAGGACCCCTGGGTGCAGTTGGTGCCACGCTAGGAAGGGGACTTGGGTCAGCCGGCTGGCTCAGTGGGTGAGCGTCGACCTAGGAACCAGGAGGTCAGGGTTCGATTCCCGGTCAGGGTACAGGCCCGGGCTGCAGGCTCGACCCCCAGTGTGGGGCATGCAGGAGGCAGCCGACCCGTGATTCTCTCATCACTGATGTTTCTATCTCCCCCTCCTTCTCCCTTCCTCTCTGCAATCACCACAAATATTAAAAAAAAGAGAGAGAGAAAAGGGGGACTCGGCCCAGTGCGTGGGAACGGGGAGCCCAGGCTGTGCTCAGTGGGCACGCGGGCCGGACCCGTCACTGCAGACGACCCCACAGGCATGTCTGAACCCAGGACGGCCTCCGGCCACAGCCTCTGGCTGTCACGGCAGCACCAGGCCAACCTCACAGCCCCGGCCACACAGGGGGCTTCGGGCCCTGTCAGCCCCCCCCCACCTTCCCTTACCCACCCACCTCCCCCGCCGCCCAGGGAGCAGCAGCCGCAGTTTTTCTCCTTAAACTGTTCCGAGGGCCGACGGGTGGCATTCTCAGAGCCGTCGCTCTGGGTGGGGTCCCCGTTTCTCCACTTCCACCAGCACCTAACGCTGTTCTGTGCGACTGTCTCACCGCCGTGTCCCAGTCACCTGAGCCGTGAAGACCTGCTGTTTCTGGAATTTCTGGAATTTTCCAGAATACATCAATGGCAAGTCTTCACATTTGTGGATGTTGCCTTAAAAAATCACTTTCTGGTGCCACACGACACAGGACCCCTCACAGGACACACTTACTGCGTGGCCAGCCCAGGACGTGGGGGAGGGGCCCAGCCCAGGACCTCTCTCTGCGCTCACAGCCCCGGGCGCCCACGTCCCATGACCTCCCCTCCCATGACCTCCCCCTCGGCTCTCCAGGCCACAACCAACCAGTGAGGCAGGAATGGCTCCCGACTGCCCAGGGGCGCTGACCGTTTCCTCCGATTGTCAAATGAAAACAATGACAGCTGACAGCCCCTCCCCCTCCCGGGGTGAATGAATCAAAATTACGCCTTTTACGGCCTTCTTGGCAGAAGCTGTACTTTCAGTGAGCCGCAGGGTTTTAGTGATAGTTTACCAGCCGGGAGGTGAAGCGGCTGCGGGTCACTGGCCTGGACACCGGTCCGCTCTGCTCCTGCCTCTGCTCCTGCCGGGAGCCCGCAGCCCTCCCCGCGGCCCAGGCCTCCAGGGGCCTCCAGCCCAGCATCCTGAGCCAGCGGGCAGTGTGGGAGCCTCTGGGCAGGAGCTCCTGGAGGCCCAGCCGCACTGGCTGAGCTCAGAGTCCCCTTCTCCCCATCCAGTAGCCCTGCCCCCAGCAACCTGTGACCTCTGTGACCTCTGTGACGGGGTGAATGCTCTGTGTAGTCACCAAGGAACACAGCAGGACACGGGAGTCCAGAGGGAGTTGGTGAGCAGGGGACCCGGCACGCACACACACACTCACACACACACACTCACACATACACACACGCATGCACACACCCCACATGATGGCCCTGGATCTGAAGGGCCCCAGCCACGGGGACCTGTGGGGTCCCAGCCCTGCCCCGTCACCGGGCTGCCGGCTGACATTGTCCACACGCTGCTGCCCCAGACGCGGGGATGAGGCCGTCCCACACGCAGCGTTTTGGAGTTACCATGGGCGCCTCTGCACCTGCAGGTCGGGTCCCTCACGAGGCTGCGGCCACCTGAGAGGCGGCTGACCCAGTGCCCAGCCACAGGTGCGCCCTGGTGGGAAGAGAGGTGCCGACTGTGGGGGGACGCGAGGGTGGTGGCCCCGGGCTTCCGGGTCCCTGAGGGTCAGTCCCCACCTGCCGGTGAGCAGTGGTCCTGCCGCGCAGTGCCCCCAGGGAGGGGCCCAGTACCGATGAGGGGGGCGGTGATCAAACCACAGGTCAGGGTAAACATGCGTGTGAACAGGTGCGGGGGAAGGAAGAACCCCAGAGATGGAGAAGGTCTCAGATGAGCATCTACACCTGGCGGCAGCAAGGCTGGGGAGTGACCGGCCCTGGGGAGGCGGAGGCAGGGAGAACCTCAGGGGCCCGGGAGCCTGCTAGTCCTGCACCTCGCCCGGCCTCCTGTCATGAGTTTGGAATTTGAACGGAAACCATGCAGCGCGGCTCTGAGCAGCACGTACGCTGGGAGCCAGAGGACTTTGTTCCTAGGGGACGGCAGGCCTTGGGCAAGGCAGCAAACACGGCCTGGCCGAGGCCACCGTCCGCCCTGCTTCGTGGCGGAGTCGGGGAGTGGGGGGGGGGCGGGTCTCTGGGGCCGGGCTCACGGTCCCTGCTGAGGTGGTCCCAGGTGCTGGTCACCACACACAGGGCCACCGCCCGAAACCTTACGGGGGTGAAGGCAACGGTGACAGACAGGCACGCGCCCCACAGGCTCCCAGCCAGAGAGGACACGGCTAGTGTTCCCACCACTAACAGTTTTAGAAGCAGCCCGCCCCTGCAGGTGGAAGCCACCGGCTCCCCGAGAAGGTGCTCCTGAGCCCGTGGTCAGCTTCACCCTGTTCTTCTCTTCCGTCCAGGCCTGTGTGGGCTGCGCTTCAGGATGTCCCGCGATCAGAAGTGTCCACCTCACCCTCACGTGGGGCCATGAAGGTGCTAGGGTCACCTCAGCTGCAGGCTGACACCCGAGGGACACAGAGCTGCTCTCGCCCACACACAGGGCTCCCCGGGTCCCGTGGGTGAGGCTGCCGCACCTGTTGGACGGCTACACCTGGTGCACCTGCTGGCAGCCCCTCCCAGGTGCAGGGGGAGAGGGGAAGGGAGAAGGGGGGGGGGAGAGAGGAGAAAGGGAGAGAGAGAGGAAGGGAGAGGAGAGAGACAGGAGAGAGAAAGAAGAGAAGAGAGAGGGGGGAGGGAGAGAAGAGGGAGGAAGGGAGGGAGGGAGAGAAGGTGGGCTTTGCTGCCTCTTTTGGGGACCCTGGTCTCGTCACCTCCTCTCATCGGCCCCACCCTGAGGCCCTCGACCTCCTCTCTCGCCCCTGCAGTCCCATCGGGACCTCCTCGGGCTTCAGCAAGGGGGTGGGGACACACAGCTGAGTCTATAGCCACTATGGAACCGAGATGTCTGAGTGGCCCCTGACCCGTGTCAGAGCCCCTCACAGACACGCACGCTCCTGGCTGTGGAAAATCGAGAGCTTGTCGGGGGTCGAGGCCGAAACATCAAAAACAAACAGCGAACAAGTGGCCCCGCGAGGCTCCCCGCGAGGGCGCGCCATCACCCTCCAGGACACACAGCTGCCAGTCTTTATGGGTTCATTTCGCTTTTAGTCACTTACACCTTCCCACTCTTTACTGAATTTGAAAGGAATAAAACTGCATTTCTCTTAAATGTTTTACAACACAGATTTGTAAAGAAATGGATGGGCTTTATAGTCTAAATTAATGAGGACTGATCATGAGTTGCTTTAACTGAGTGTGGACGGTGATCACTGGGGGAAGACGGGCATCTGTAAGTCAGGGCATTTCTCCCATCATGCCCGCTGCCTGGGTGGAAGAACTGACGCTGTAGCCAGAGAAACTGCGCCCAGTGACTGGGGAGGTGCTGGCACCACAGGAGCAGCTGTGCCACGGAGAAGCTCTCGAGTGAGAGTGGGTGTGTGCTCGGCGCTGGGAGTGGCCTAGTGAGGCCTGGAGGGGACAGGGGATGGGGATAGGGGGGGACCGGGAGGTGGGACAGGGGGGTGGGGCAGGGAGTGGGGTGGGACAGGGAGGTGGGACAGGGGATGGGGACAGGAGGGTGGGGGGATGGGACAGGGGATGGGGACGGGGGTGGGGCAGGGAGGTGGGACAGGGGATGGGGACAGGAGGGTGGGGATGGGGGTGTGGGGGGATGGGACAAGGGGTGGGGACAGGGGGTGGGGCAGGGAGTGGGATCGTGGGTGGGGGGGGTGGGGAGGGCAGTAAGGAACAGGGCGGGGACAGAGGATCTGAGGAGACAGGAGGAGTCAGGCGTCCTCCGGGAGCTGGAACCAGCTTGTGCGGAAAGCCTAGAACCTGACAGACTAGTTGGGGACATGGTGGCCGGGAATCCCCAGCCTGTGTGTCCCTGAGCCCTGGGGGACCTGGCGGCCGGCAGGTGGGTGGAGCCGATGGTTTTTAATAGAATTGGGCATAGCATTACTGCTGAAGGCTCAGCAGATGCCAGGGACTCCCCCCTCATGGAACTAGGGCCCCCCCACCCGCGCCGTGGGCCCTTCTGCGCTGACCCGAGCAGATCCCCAGGGTCTCTAGGGGAACACCCACTCCCCCTCGCCTTCCACAAAGCCCGCTGCTTCCATACGTGCCCACTTCTGTGCAGAACTCCTCTGGCTTCAGGAATCCTAGTCTCTGTATTTCTCCAAAGACCTTCCAGCGTAAACAGCACTGCCCGCTGCTCTGCTCACGGGCACGCCGGGGACCAGCGCTCGGGGAAGGAAGCAGTGCGGCTCGGACACAAATATTTAGACAGCGGGGCACAGCGGCCATGCCAGGGCCGTGAGGTCACCGTGTGCTCACCGTCAGATCCCACAACCCACGCTGCAGCTCCTCGGTCTGCCCCTGGGCGCCTCCTCCCTCGGAGACGGAGCACTGTCCCCGGGAAAGCCAGAGGGAGACACCAGACTTCCCTGGGCCGGTCAGCCCTTCCTCAGAACACAGGGCACTTTTCTGGGGCCTCAGAGAACAAACCCAACAAGGGAAGCAACCAAACTCGTCATTGACCCTAAAGCCCGAGAAGCAGAAATGCCGGGAGGAGGAGTCCCATGGGAGCTCTCCCATCAGGACAGATGACAGCGAGACACAAGTGATGGGCGCCCAGAACCAGCGCGGGCAACGGCCCAGCTCTCTAATGCGCGGCCCACGAGGTCGCCCGGCAAAGGTCTGCCTGGCACGCAGGCGGACAGGGCCTCCCTCACGGAGAGGGCACCGGGTAGGGGCCCTGGATGAGGGTCGTTGGCCCAGCAGCTACAGATGCTGACCTACTCCCATGCTAGGCGACCAGGCCAGCCCCAAGCTCATGGGAAATGCCAGTCCTGGGCCTGGAGCGGAGACAAGCTCCTGGCAGCCTCAGACCGAATCTTCAGGGAAAAGGGGGACTAATGTTAACAGATCTGCTCCCCAAGGCCTCGCATCCCGCAGGCACGCCAGACCCACGGGAACAGGACCTGACGACGTGCACGAATGCAGACGAGCCATGTTCCTGCCACTCACAACAGGTTATCGTTCCAGCAGAACAGAAGTGACTTATATCAGTGGACATGCCAAATGCCAGTGGGCCAACATTTGTAACGCTAAAAACTGAAACTGCGAGTGACCCACATATTTCAGCACAAGGATGGGCGGGGTCTCCTGAAGGCTCGTGGGTCGCACAGACACATTTGCAATCGCTAACGAGGAAGCGCTTTAAAGGGTATATTCAACGCCCCGTAGTAACCATTTACTGGGAAGAGTAAAAAGATGAAGTGCTGACGTTGAAGCACGGTTGGAACTCTGGAAGGCGTCAGGTGACATGTGTGGGGCTCTGTGGACAAGGGCAGCTCGGCCGGCCAGCGAGCTAAGCGTGACAGACCAAAAACCAACGTTCCCGACTGAGCTCGAAGGTAGGGATGCCGGCCCGCAGATTGCCAGTGTTGTTGGGGCGGGAAGATGTGCGTGTAAGGGATGTCGGCATGGCGAATGCCGACAGGTGGGAGGAGCCAACGCGGATGCCGCCAACGGCAGTGATGTTGCAAGAGCTCAGACTCAGGTGCCAAAGGCCGGGTAATGAACGAGGTTGTTGGGAGGGTTTTGCAGCTCCCGTGAAGCCGAGGGCGTCCCAGAGGAACAGCCGGGCCAGGCAGGAGCCGTGCCAACAACGTTCAGATGGCTGAACATAGGTGCTTATGTGATAATTATATAGCTCAGGGAACAAAGGGAATCTGCTTTATCATTTTAAGGCATATGCCTGGGGTGGGTAGGGGCTGGGAGGAGGGGGGGAAGGAGAGGAAAACGGGAGATATCTATAATACCATCAGCAACAAAAAATATATTAAAAAAAACTTTGAAGCATAAAAAAATAAACTGTTTCCTGCATTAAATAATCATCACAATAAAACATAGGTCTATCTACATATTCATTTATTTTACTGCTCAGTAACCTGTTTTGACTCTCCCCTGTTGCATCAAGTGGGACCAGGTCAATGGTTTATAGCAGCAGTTCTCAACTTTCCTAATGCCACGACCCTTTAATACAGTTCCTCATGCTGTGGTGACCCAGCCATAAAATCATTTTCGTTGCTACTTCATAGCTGTCATGTTGCTACTGTTGTGAATCGTCATGTAAATATCTGATATGCAGGATGTATTTTCATTGTTACAAATTGAACATCATTAAAGCACAGTGATTCATCACAAAAACAATATGTAATTATATGTGTTTTCCGATGGTCTTAGGCGAGCCCTGTGAAAGGGTCGTTCGACCCCCAGGTTGAGAAGCGCTGGTCTAGAGCATTTGTAGGGCAGGCCTTCATCTCTCCCGAAGAGGCTCACAGCCTCAGGTGTGAGGCCCGGGCCGGGGAGGGCGCCACCTTAATCCCGAGCCCACAGCTGGGAGGGGGAGAGGTCACTGTCTGACCTGCTCGTGGCCGGAGGTTAGGTGACCTGCTGGGGAACTCAGGTGGCAGGTGACACACCAGGCCAATCAGCTCTGCTCTGGGGAAGACGGAGGCCAGTCCACCCGAGAGGCCTTCCCCCGGCTGCCTCCCAGTGTGCCCGCCTGCGCCGTGGCACCCCCAGGCCTGGAAGGGAGACCAGCCGTGGCGGGGACCTGAGCTGCCTCCACCGCTTGCTCACCTGCCCCGCGACAACCCCCAACATCGGAGGGTCTCTGGGCATCGCTGCCACCACAGCCCAGTGGTGCGAGGTCCGCGGAGATGCAGGGTGACAGCACGTTCGGCCGCCGGTCAGCAAGTCCGAATAATGCCCATGACGCATGAGAGGCCTCCTGGGCGCCAGGGGCCACTTACCTCTAAGCAGCGGGCGGCCCTGTGGGGCGTGACCTCCAGCTCCCCGGTGAGGACCTGCCCCGGTCCCAGCTGGTCCCGCGTCTGAGCCCAGGGCTGGAGCCTCGCAGCGCGGCCCGGGCGGGGTGGCACCCACGCGGGCGGTCAGGAAACCCGCGGCGGGGCCAGGGCTCCCCACCGACGGCTGCGGGCGAGCCGCCACCAGCGGCGCAGAAGGCCCCTGAGAGCCAGGAGCCGGAGCCCGCAGGCCGCCAGCTGGTCGATGGAGCCGCGGCCCAGGGCCCAGAAGGGCTAGGTCCGTCCCACTAGACCCAGACCCGCGCCTTCCCGAGCGGACGGCGCCTCCGTGCCCCGCGTGGGCTCAACACGCGCCCGGTGAACAGGCCCAGCACCGGTCGCCATTACAGCCAGATTGGGGGGACGACCCGACGTTCCGACACGCGCTGCTTCACCAGGTCGCCTGTCCCCACACGGGTCCAGGGCAAAGTCAGTGGCCGGAGGAAAGGGCCTGGCGGCCGACTCTGGACAGACGGGGCACACACTGCCTGCCACGGGGTCAGGAGGTCGTGGATCACGTGGCCACGCCCACCACGGGGTCAGGAGGTCGTGGATCACGCGGCCACGCCCACCACGGGGTCAGGAGGTCGTGGATCACGTGGCCACGCCCACCAGGGGTCAGGAAGGTTGTGGATCACGCGGCCACGCCCACCACGGGGTCAGGAGGTCGTGGATCACGCGGCCACGCCCACCACGGGGTCAGGAGGTCGTGGATCACGTGGCCACGCCCACCAGGGGTCAGGAAGGTTGTGGATATGGGTGAGCAGCATGAACACGCTTAGCAAACATCAGCCGTTACTGCTCAGAAAGCCCTGCTGCTGACCAAGCTCTGACCGGAGCGGAGAAGGACCATGGGACAGTCATGTGACACAGATGCTGTAAATAGTGTCTCTGTCTTCAAATCTGAAGGAAAGTCAAGATGACGTTTTTGTTGCTCTCGTGTGATTTGTTTTGGCCTCCAGCTGTGTCCTGTGGGTAACACTTCACAGAGGCTCCGGCCGATCCAATCCAGGAACAAGCCCTGAGCGGTGAGCGTGGCTCCATAGACCCAGCCTTGAGGCTGCGTTCACTGGCTGGTGAAGACCCGGCCACCACGCTTAGTGCCGATCGTTCGGAGCTGGTTTGCTTCCTCTTGCACCGATGGGAGCACAGAGCCTGCGCACTGGTCTCACGCCGTCTCCTGGCAACAGCCTGTGCTGACGCTGGAATTCCCGCTGGTGGTAGCACGATTGGGTTGTGGTCACATGGGCCTCGTCCCGCAGTGAGTTTCACCTGCCCCCGGAGCAGCTGCCAAGCGTGGGGAGGACCAGATGTGTTTAGTGATCATTTCACCAGTCAGTGCCATCGACCCTCTGGTCTGAGTCATTTGTCACAGAAAACCCAGTTAGTTTCCCCTATAAATGAAGTTGATGACTCGGCAAAAATGCAGCGTTGTCCGGAACTGAGGTGAACATCGGGGGCGAGAAGAGGGCCTCCCAGGTGAAGTGCAGAGAGGAAAGGAGAGATGACGACTGGGACGGCCAGAGGAGGGTCCATGGTGAGGCCCACAGTGAAGGTGCTGGGGGAGCACCCTCCTGGCAGCTGAAGATGCTGACCAGACCCCAGCCTCCCGTCCACGCATCTCCACGCGTGCAGTCTAACATGCCGGGAGCCGGTTCATCCTTGCTGCTTGACACAGTCGCTGCAGGGAAGAAACATCTGTACAGCATGTGTTTCAAGGGACCTGGCGTATATGGCATCCTGTTATGTTTGCTCCCCTTAGCGCTATGTGTTCTAACCAAGGTCACCTCCCAGAGAAAGGTTGTTTCCCCAGGTAGGGATTTTCCCCTGAAGTTAGGGAGGGGATAAAACCCCTCAACTAAGTGCCAGGCGGGTAGTTAATCACTTTAACTACGATCAATCATGCTTAAGCTACATAATCTTTACTCCCTGGAATGGAGATAAGAAACGCCCTAACCTTTGGAATAGAAATTGATAGGATTAAAATCAACTGGTATAAATACAGATGTAACAAGACAATAAGACACAGAACCTGGAACCTTCTCCAGAACAGTGTCTTGGGAACTCACCTGGCTGGGGAGACTTCTGGAAGAGGCTGCAACCACACATCAAGGCTTGATCCTTGAGCTGACCTCTTCCTATTTTTCCTGCCACGGAAAGCCCTGGATCTGCTCCTTAGGTGAGTGCACCATTGCCCATTTGCACTATTCTAAAGAGAAACAGCGGCCGCGGAGGCCCCAGAGAAGAACGAGAGGGCGGGCGAGCGAGTGAGGTGCTCCCGGGCCGGCCTGGCCCCTCTCCTCACCAGCTCCGGCCCTCCGCCGTCTTTCTCCGCTTCCACCTTTTCTCCTCTCCCCCCCAAGTGGAGGCCCCCTCCAGGGGCAGGGGGGTGGGGAGGACCGGGACCAGGACCAGGACCAGGAGTGAATTCCACTAACTCCTTCACCCTCTCCCCATACCTGGCCCCCGTGTGAGGAGAACCCGGCCTGGCCCGCGTCCTGTGTGAGGAGCACCCGGGCCAGCCCACGGGCCGTCTTGGGCCTGGTGTGGCCCGCTGGGTGTGTGAAGACCGGGGCAGGTGCGGCCCAGCCTGAGGGCGAGCCAAGGCGGGGGGCCTGGTCCAGCTCACTGCCGCCGTGATGGCCCAGAAGCAGATGACCAGCTCGCAGAAGGCCCTGATGCTGGAGCTGAAGTCCCTGCAGGAGGAGCCGGTGGAGGGCTTCCGGATCTCCATGGTGGATGAGTCCGACCTCTACAACTGGGAGGTGGCCATCTTCGGACCCCCCAACACCCTCTACGAAGGCGGCTACTTCAAGGCGCGTATTAAATTTCCTATAGACTATCCATATTCACCACCTACCTTCAGATTCTTGACCAAAATGTGGCACCCCAACATTTATGGGAATGGACATGTACGCATTTCAATTCTTCATCCACCCGTAGACGACCCACAGAGTGGTGAGCTGCCCTCCGAAAGGTGGAATCCTACTCAGAATGTCAGGACCATCCTGTTAAGTGTAATCTCATTGCTTAATGAACCCAACACCTTCTCCCCAGCCAATGTGGAGGCTTCAGTTATGTTCAGGAAATGGAGGGACAGTCAAGGAAAAGACAAAGAGTATGCTGAAATCATTGGAAAACAGGTTTCAGCCACTAAAGCTGAAGCAGAAAAGGATGGAGTGAAAGTCCCCACGACCCTGGCGGAATATTGCATCAAAACTCAAGTACCTTCCAATGACAACAGCTCAGATTTGCTTTATGACGACTTGTACGACCTTGACATTGATGATGAAGATGAGGAGGAGGAAGATGCCGACTGCTATGATGATGATGATGATTCTGGGAATGAGGAGTCATGACCTGCCCCTTCAAAGCCCCTGTACTGCCCTGCCATCTCAGGCCAAAGGGAGGGGAGCAAGTGGGGACCTAGCAGTGGCCCCTCAGCAAAAACCTATCACGGGGGTGGGGAAAACAAACATGGCTCCTGCTGACTCCCCTTGTGGATCTCAGTTTGCTCCTTTTTATGGACCTCTTAATAGAGAGAAGGTAATTGTGGACGAAAGGGGCCACATGATGACCAGACAAACTCAGGGAGGCCTGCATGGCCGTCTTACAAACTCAGAGACCGAAACTCACCACCAAGGATGGCCTAAAATTAAACTTTAACTTTAAATTAAAAGCAGTGATGGTGGGCAGTTACGTCCTAGACCGGTATCTTCACTGACAAGGTCAACCTTTACCTTAACTGAGCCTACTGTCTTTTTGTATCTATGATAACACACCCTTGAAATGTCTGGGCAACTTGTAACTTCCCTTTTTCTGGAGCCCCTGGGGCACAACCAAAAGTGCTGGGTCCCAGGACAGATACCACAAATTCCTTCTTGTTATGTTAATTGATCCTGCACCCACCTAAGCATGTGTCCATCATTTTACTTTTATCCAATCCCAGGGGTTTCCCTGCTTTGCTTTATCCCTCCTCCTTAAGCTGTCACCAATGGATTTCATGTAACCCACCTACGTCCCTCCTTTGATGGCAAATGTATAAATACAGATGTAACCCACCATTCTCTGGAGCATTATCTCAATTCCTTGAGGTTCTGCTTCCCGCCCGGCTTATGTAGACAGTTTGGCTCAAATAAACTCACAAAAATTCTTTAAAAAAATAAAAAATGAAACACAGAACCTAGCTATGATGATCAACTGAATGCTGCTTCCATGTCATTCCTTCTTCTCCAACTCCATCCACACCTTTGGGAACCCCTGGACCTGCTGGGGCTGGACCCCAATACTAACACGTGTTAATACAAGCACAACTGTGTGTCTCCTTCCTTTGCCAAATGTGGAATTCTGCCTACCCAGTAACCCATAGTATCTGTTCATGATAAAGCTATAGATGAGTGGATGGATGGACAGATAGACGGATGGATGGGTGGGTGGATGGATGAGTGGGTGGATGGATAGATGGATGGGTGGGTGGATGGATGGATAGAAGGATGGGTGGGTGGGTGGGTGGGTGGATGGATGGATGGATGGACAGATAGACGGATGGATGGGTGGGTGGATGGATGGAAGGATGGGTGGGTGGGTGGGTGGATAGGTGGATGAATGTATGGGTGGGTGGATGGATGGTTGGGTGGGTGGGTGGATGGGTAGGTAGGTGGATGGATAGATGGATGGGTAGGTAGATGGATGGATGGTTGGGTGGGTGGATGGGCAGATGGATGCTACATGCTCGATGGGTGAATGAACTCAGAGGGGGCAGCTATAATCTAGTGATCTGGGTGGAGAGGCAGCTTAGGGTGTAATTAAGAGCAAGGCCTGAGGAGCCCCCCTGCCTGTGTCTAACTCCCAGGGCCCAACACCCTCCCCCCATGACCCTGGGGACTCCCTCCCTGCTCAGACTTCTGACATGTAAAACATGAGTGGGAACAGGGCTGTGGTGAGGATGCCATGAGCTAATCCATCGAAGGCACTGGGAACAGTGTCTGCCATATATTCATGACGGCCACCAGTCATTGTGACCGAGAGGCAGAGCCGGGCAGGGCGATCTGTGAGCGCCATTCAGGGGACAGCCCACACAGACTCTGGACAGAGGGCTGGGGAGCCCGCCTGGAGCCAAGAGTTTTCATAGTTTCACAATCACTCCTCACCTTTGACCTCGGCACTCCAGGCTGCCCGGAAGCCTGCAGAGCGCTGTGCTCCCTGGCGGGCAGTGAATGGGTCCTTAGGACATTCTCCAGCTGCCTCCCGGGGAGGACTGCTCCTCACACATGCAAGGCTCTCAGCGCTCACAGCTCCCTGGTCCCCCCCTCTTCCCTCGAGGCCGCCCATGAGCCCTGTCTCTGCTGGAAAGCACAGGAAGACCCTGTCCGAACCTGAGACAGAGAACGGGCAATGCCACCGTGGAGATTCCCGACGGGAGGGTTTGTGTTTCTCATGCCCAGGTGTCTTCGCCTCACCCCCACACTCGCCAGGCCTCACCCCTCAGGGGTGACCTCGCATTGCCTCACCTGAGCTCAATCCCTGATGCACGTGATGCCTTTGCCCCATTTTGCTTCCATTAAAAATGTCTGTGTATTTCCAACCCTCAGCCACCGGCTTCTGCCAGCGGAGACAGCCTGCGCCCTGCGCGAGGTCACCCCGAGGTGACCAGGGGCCTGTGGCTGCGACAAAGATGGTGGTGAGCACAGGGGCTGAGGTGGGGGCCACACGAAGGCTCCAGGGTCCTCACGGCCTGGCAGGCTGCCCACAGGACCCCGCTCAGAGGAGAGGGACGCTGGCCTGGGCGGGAGGGGCCTGGGTGCTGAGACCGCGCCCCTAGGGTCGCCCTGGCTAAGCCTGACTGGCTCACGCTGGCATCTGCAAAGCCCCCTGGGCCACCAAACAGCCACCAAACAGGAGCAGATAAGCCACCTCGGCGGGTCTCCCCTGCTGTGCGCTTCCTTTTCCTCCAGAGGGAGCCACCGAGGCGGAGGGGAGGGGAGGGCGGGGCGCGATGCGGTCTCACTAGGCGCCTCCCAAAGCCGGTGCTGGGTGTTTGGTGGATGTTGGAGGAGTGGTCCGGATCCTTCTTCCAAGAACACACAGTCCAGTGGCTCTTCGTGTTCCCAACAACAGGAAGGCAACTGAGACGAACACTCCATTTCTCCCCCCACTGATGAGCACACCCTCCGCAGGCCGGAGGCACTGGGCTGGGCCTGGGAGCAGGTGCTGCACCCGAGGTGGGTGTGGAAGCGGCAGCATCGGGGAGGGATCTGTCTGGTCCCCACAGGTGGGGAGACACGGGGACCTGGCCAGCAGCCCCAGCTCGGTAACTCGGTCACACCGGCCACCTGCACAGCGATCTGCATATACCATGGCTCCCGGAGTAGAGCCCGCAGGGCAGAGGGTGGGAGGACCTGGGTTATGGCGCCCGGGCTGCTGGGACACCAGGCAGCTCTAAGCGAAAGCAAGAGGGACAGGGAGCTGCGTGTTGCTGTGAAGGTCGTCAGAGCATGAGGCCAAGTGAGAAGCAAAATACAGACCTGCAGGGGTGGGGGGAGGGGTGTGTCAGCATGCGCTTTTATTTACATAAATAAACAAAAAATGATACAGCTGATGAGGGAACTGGGTGTGGCAGACATCTTTAAGATCATGCTGGGCTTTGAGCTTCAAGCTAACACCCGGCCAGCTGGTGTGGCTCCATGGATTCAGCATCGATCTGTGAACCAAGAGGTCCCGGGTTTGATTCCCAGTCAGAGCACAGGCCTGGCTTGTGGGCTCGATCCCCAGTAGGGGCGTTCAGGAGGCAGCCCATCAATGAGTCTCTCTCATCATTGCTGTTTCTATCTCTCTCCCTCTCCCTTCCTCTCTGAAATCCATAAAATATATATATAGCTATCATCCGGCTCATCAAAAAGTTAAAGCCTCCCTAATAGCTTGAGATTCAGGTCAGTGTTTCGCTCATCTCTGTCTCCCCTCCCCCTTCTCCATGGCACCCTCCCCCTCCTCCGTGGCATCCTTTGAAGCCCAGCTCCGATGCCAGCTCCTCCCGACACCCCGCCAGCTGTCATCACTGTCTCCCTGCGTCTCCATAACGCACGTCTGTACGTTTATTAAAGCATTTATTTCGCTCAGCCTTCCACAATAGTAATTAACCTGCCTGTCTCCCCCAAATGACAGATTCCCGAGGGACAGAGTTCATCACAGCTGTGGGGACCCTGGCTGAGGAGGGAGTAATTAGGGGACCCCTGAGAGGGCTCCGCCCGTGAGGTGACTGCGGTTCTCTCGGGGCTGAGCTGGGAGTGGGACCTGCGGGAACAGGTGCCGTCTCTGGGTTGACCGTGGGATGCCATGGGCGGGCCAGGCTCCCTCTTCCTGCTTCAGGCTGTGGGGTGGCATAAGGCGGAGTGGGGCGGCTGGCTATCTGGTGGCCTGTGTTCCGGGTCCAGGAGAGGCCCAGGTGGTCACAGTGCTCCTGGGGACAGCGCCCCTGAGCAGTGGGGACCGGGAGGGAACAGGCAGAGGGGCCTGGACATGGAGGAAGGGCCTTGGTGTGTGCGGGACCCAGCGCCCAGCCCGGCTTCCTGGCGGCCTCCCTGCCAAGCACAGCGGTGCTCCTGCGGGCGAGCGGGGGGCAGAACCCGGCCGTGGGCACCATCCTGGGCAGCGGAGGGCGCGGGGGGGGCACGGGGGGCAGAACCCGGCTGTGGGCACTGTCCCGGGCAACGGGGGGCGCGGGGGGCGCTGCCGTGGTGCTCACACTGCTCCCCAACCTCCCCTCCCGCGTCCAGTTCCGGACGGCAGAGCCTGGAACTGCTGGGTGGGCCCTGCTCAGAGGCAGCTCCAGGGTGGGCCACCTCGCCAGTTCCGAGAACAACGGGGGTCGCCCAGATGTGCTGTGGGGTCCAGCTGTCCCCCCCCGTCCCCCCACAACCGGGACCTGCGCCTCCAGCAGCAACTCCCCTGCCGCCTGCTCTGCGCTGACTCCCAGGAGGGTCCCCCCGTCAGGGGACCGAGTGAGGGGCTGCTGCTCGCAGGGGCCTGGCTGACGAAGATGCCGTGCCCGCCTGCTCGGCTGCAGTGGACGGGCCCTGGCACCTGCCAACATCCCCGAAGGAGGGGGAGGAGGGCGAGGGCCCGGGACGCGGGACAGACTGTCGTCAGCGCCGAGGTCTGAGGGTGACGGCGGCTCAGGCCTCCTTGGCGGACTGGGTGCCACCGTATCAGCGGGAGCAGATAAGACACACCGGCTGCTCCCAGGGGAATGCCAGGGAGGCCACAGGGTGACAGGGCCTCGGCAAGCCGTCCAAGGGCGCCTGGCCTCCCTCTGCGCGTGGCCCTGTCCCGTCCGTCCGTCACAGCCCCCCTGGTGGCCCTGCCCACGAGTCTGCACCCTTCACTGCAGGCCAGGCCTCACCGGGTGTTCTCAGGGGCTCAGACAGCAGGGCGTGTCCCCGCACCACTCCCCTCCACGTGGGATGTTTCTCTCTCTCCCTCTCCCTTCACTCTTTGAAATCAATAAGACATATTAAAAAAATAAATAAAAATAAGAATGTGCTGTCTTCCTGTGGAAACACTGCGCTATTTCAAAGGGAGCATGTTTGCATTGTTTTAGAAGAACATTTGAACCAGCACAAACTGCCACTGTTCTAAATACATTATTTATTTTGTTTAAAAATTTACAGCATGCCCATCAATAATGCATCCGGCTGGGGAGAGCGAATCCGCGGCAGGCCGTGCACCAACACCCGCGCTGCCGGCAGGGAGCTCCATCACCC